GTCCGCGCTGGTCTTGACAGCACTGCTCGGCTTTCCGCGAGCAGTCGTGAGCAGTCTGCGCCCGGGGTCGCCGCCGCCTGGATACTCCCCGCCGCCACGATGCTCCCCGCCGCTGCCCTGTGCATTGTGGGAGCGGGAGGAGGCCGCACTCCGACGCTGCCACCGCGGCTGGTCCGGCCTCTGGGCCACGCCGCCTCCCCTTGCTGCAGGCGCCCAGCATCCTCAGTCTTCAGCCAGCCCCGCCGCCGCCCCCCGCGCTGCTGAGACCCAGAAACTGACCCCAGGTTGCTCCCGTCCCTAGCGAGCCCTGGATCCTGCAGAGTAACCTGGGCCGGAAGGGTAGCAATAGCTGGCGTCACTGAGTGTGTCCAGGTAAAGGACTGGGAGCCTCCATGCTGCTGCTTCTGTCTTTCCAAGCATTTCTAGGGAGAGGGTTTGGGGAAGAGTTCTTGAAAGCTCCAGAAAAGCCTTGTTAGCGGCAGTAGACTGGAAGGCCGTCAGTGCAGGACCGGGAATTGGCGGTGAAGGATCATCAAGGTCACCCCAGACAGCTCGGTGTCCATAGCAGGGTCGTTTCGTGGTGCCAGAGCGGAGGGGCCTGTTCTAAGCTGCAGAAATTTAAATGAGCTTTGAAACAAGGTGCCTTCAGGAGGGGCAACCCCGGCGCCTACCACTCTCCTGGGTTCGTGCGTTTGCTGAGGGGCCACTGTCCTTCTGTCCCACCTCTCTCCCTGATCCTGTCCCCGGGTGATTACAGGCTCCGTGGTGCCACTGGGAGCTGATCTGGGATGCCACTTTAAAATGGCAGAGGGCTTTTGTGGAAGGTCTATGCCTGCAATTTAACACTATCCAACCAACCAAAAGGAGCCCTGGTGGTGCAGTGGTTAAAGAGCTCGGCTGCTGTTTGAATCACCAGCCGCTCCGCGGGAGAAAGATGCGGTGATTACAGCGTTGGAAACCTTACGGGGCAGTTCTGCTCTGTTCTATAGGGTCCTATGAGTCGGAATTGACTCCACAGCAGTGGGTATGGTTTTTGTTTTGTTTTTAACCAATGAAATGACTGGGATCCTCCGGTGGGGGAGTCGATTACCCTGCTCATAACTAGCGACCCTATAGGACAGAGTAAAACTGCCCCAAAGGGTTTCCAAGGCTGTAACATTTGCAGATGCAGACCGCCACATCTTTCTCCTGCTGAGCGCAAACTTTCGGTTAGCAGCCGAGCACTTTAACCACTGGTCAGAAGCTACCCTCAATCTAGGCAAGGTCACCCTTGCCTGTCAAGCGCAGGAATGTGGTCTTTCCGCCCCATGCTGTCTTCCCCATCTACCTCCTCCCCATCCACACTTTCACTCCTTGACTAGTTTCTTTATTTTTTAATTTGTAGCCTCTTTCTAGTGTCCTCGCCTTATTTCTTCGACCTGTAAGTGGTTCTGAGTGCCTGCCATTGGAATCTGGGACAGTTTCCATCATGACCATTTCTCAAGCCTCGGGACACTGGTTCTGTGTGGACTACCATTGACTGAAGAGTTGACTTGGGCCAAGTCCTCACTCTGGAACTCAGGCCATTCCCCTTCTTGCTCACTGGCCCACAATCCACTCAGAAATGTCCCCAAGAGATGCCCTCTCAGAAGCAGATCAACAGGTCTCTCTTCTGAGGCACCCTTGAGGGGGTCTGAACCACCACCTTTAGGTTAATAACCCAGCACTTAACCATTTGTCCCACCCAGGGACTCCACCAGAGTCCAAAGCCCTGCAGAATTTTCTCTTTTCTTTCCAATTCTAAAACAAAATCTTTCCTGTTTCTGGGTCCCTCCCTCTTTCTTTACCCAGAAATAAAAAGAGAAAACACATGGTGCAGTTATGGACCTTAAAGGGGCCTGGATTGGTTTAGGAGGCCTGGGTTCTATCCGTTGCAATTTCTTCGTGCCTTGTGTAAGTTGGTAACCACTATGTTATTGTCACCTTCAGCTAATACCTACCTCCCAGGACTGTTGATCAGTGTATGCAAAGAAAAAACTAAAAAACTGAAAGGCCTTATGAGTGTGGGTGCTTTTCTCTTCCAGGAAGAAAAAGGAACTGCAGTTCTTATAATTCATATGCATTCAACTACTCAAATATTTGAAGCCTTAGTAAGCAGAAGGTAGTAAGGATGAGGAGAGGAAAGGTTTTCTGCCCTTGAGCTAACCTGACTTTACCTTATCTCATTCAGGAGAAGAGCTGACTTAAAAGCCATGCTGCACAGTCATAAAATAGAAATTCTAATTCTGTGAGGTTGGCCTAACACTAGAGGCAGAGGCAAGTACTATGTTACTACTGGTAGTGTACATTAGTTGGCATTTAGATAGTCTGATATTTAATGTGTTTCGGAGGACTAGGTATTGGGCATAGTGATATTTGGATGGGTGGGGAGGAACCACAAATCACCCAATGAAAGCTCTAAATGGTGATGTGGATAGGAAGCTATTTATGATCAGAGAACATATAAAGAGCATGAGGGAACTAAGCTATGAAGCAGGAAAACAAGAACAGATTGAGGCTGACCTAAAAGACGTTAAAGATGGAAGGCAGGCATCAGGAATTGCTTCACTTCCCCAATTCCAGGCAGTTATCCTAGCTCCTCCTTACCTGCAAATTTAGGCCTAGCCACATTTTAAGGCCCCTCTAGGCAAGCAGGATGAAAATACAGTCCTTAACTCAAAAGGAACAATACTTCATTCAATATCAAATGAAATTATATATATATAAAATTTGAAATGTAATACACTGATAATCAATGTAGATTATTATCATTACTATTATTTTTGAACCCATTACCTACTACTCTTAATTCTAGATTCTCATTTCTTCATGCCTAAATATTTGCCTGAGTCTCTGGCCCTTCGTTCCCTGATATTCTAGACTGTGCTGCCCCTCCCCCACCTGCTATTTGAACTGCCTCTGTATCTCTGATCCATAACATTCCACCCTTAGACTCATTGCTGTCGACTCCATTCCGACTCACAGCGACCCTATAGGACAGAGAAGAACTGCCCCATAGGGTTTCCAAGGAGTGGCTAGTGGATTCGAACTGCTGACCTTTTGGTTAGCAGCCTGAGCTATTAACCACTCCACCAGGGCTAGGGCACCTGATTCCTTCAATCAGTTTATTTTTTCCAGACCTTGAAATACTTTCTATCCAAACCCATAGCACCTTCAGCTAATACCTACCTCCCAGGCTTTACACCGCCTTGATAATCATAATACTTAGAAAGCTTCTCTCGTCCTACTCTGCCCCCAGTCTGCCTTCCACGTAGTAGTGATGAAAGCTCTGGAGTACTGAAAAGTCATAGATTCAAATGACCTTGATTCTAGTCCGGTTCTGACCTGGGGCTAGCCACCTAACCAGTGTGAGCCTATTTTTTATTTTTTAGTAAACTTTTTTACAGCAGCTTTAGATTTACAAAACACTTGCAAAGATAGTACAGAGAATTCCTGTATACCCAGCACCCAGTTTCTCCTGTTAACATCTTAGTATGGTATATTTGTTATAATTAATGAACTAGTATTGATACATTGTCATTAATAAAGTTCATACATTATTCAGATTTACTTAGTTTTTACCTAATGTCATTTTCTGTTCCAGGATCCCATCCAGGATGATATATTACATTTAGTCATCATGTCTCCTTAGGATCATCTTGGCTGACAATTTCTCTGATGTTCCTTGCTTTTGATGACAGTTTTAAGGAATTCTGGCAAGGTATTTTGTAGAAGGTCCTTCAACTGGAATTTGTCTGATATTTTTCTTATGATTAGACTGGGGTTGTGGGTTTTTGTGAGGTAGACCATGGAGTTAAGTGCCGTTTTCATCACACCATATAAGGTACATACTATCAAGGCTTCCAACCTGTTCAGTCTGGTTCGTATCCCTGCTGAGAATTTGCATTTCTAACACATTCCCAGGTGATGTTAACGCTGCTGGTTAGGGACCAGTTCTGAGAACAACTAGTAGAGCAGTGGTTCTCAGAATTTATTATACGTAAGAATCACCTGGGGATCTTGTTAAACTGTAGATTCTGATTCAGTGTATCTGGGGTGGGAATGCAAATTCTCAGCAGAGGTTCAAACCAAAATGAACTGGTTCCAAGCCTTGCATACTATCAACATGACTTACCACTATTGATGCTGACCTTGATCACCCAGCTGAGGTAGTGTTTATAAGTTTTCTCCACTGTAAAGTTACCCTTTTTCTCTTCCTTTCCATACTGTACTGTACAACCTATACTAAAGGAGTGAGGAACTTATGCTCCATCTTTTTGAAGACAGAGTATCTACATACATTATTTGGAATTCTTCTGTGTAAGATATTTGTCTCTTCTCCCCATTCATTCATTTATATCAGTATGGACTCATGGATATTTATATTTTGGGTGATAGTTCAATACTTCATTATGTTGCTCCAGTTGTTCAAGTTTTGGCCATTGAGAGCTCTTTCAGTTGGCTCGTGTCCTTTAACATACTTCCATCATTGTATGTGTGTGTGTTTTCAGCACTTTCTTAATGTCTGGCACTCCAGGCTCATCTTGTATGTTTCCTGCCCCAGTCCTAGAATCAGCCTCTTCTCCAAGGAGCTCTAGTTCCTTTTATTGGAGAATAGTATTAGAAACTAAGATCCGTCACTAGGTATGCTCATTGCTACTGGGATATAGTTGCTTCTGGGCCCTCTCAGCTACAGAGCAAGGAAATACATGTTTACTAACCCATATGTGTGTATATATATATCTATAAATATTTCTATATATAACCATCTATATCTCTATTAAGCTAATCATGAGTTATGATAATGTCTCCAACTCTAATCC